TTTTGTTATTATCCTTAATTAACAAACATACACTAGTGATCATTCACTGTATTCATTGGAAAGTGGAATAACAGGAGTTACGATGGAAAAGAAAATCAGGGTCCCTTCTGAAAAAATCTTATTACTCAAACATTGAAATGCTGTGTTTCAAGATATAACTTTTGGTTTTCCTCGACATTTTGGTTTCCAGGCGATTGTGGTCCTCCTCCCAGTTTATCATTTGCTTCACCAATAACCGTGTTGTATGATATGACTTTCAAAACTGGAACTGTCTTGAAATATACCTGCCGCCCTGGCTACCGTAGAGTCAGTTCAAGTCAGGTTACTTGTAATCTTGATGGCTCATGGAAATATAGTATCTTTTGTGCCAGTAAGTATCAACATTTATTTTTCTAACCTGTACTTTTTTTTTTTTTGTTTTCTGGAGAGTTCTCTTAGGAACTTAATAAATTTCTTAATTCACATGAAAAATCTTTCATCAAAGTAGTCTTCAAAATTAACATCGCCTATACTATTTGGAAGAAGTCAGTTGGGATTACACTCAGGTATTTTTTTCAACAGTCTTAATTTTATTTCTATTTTTTTCTGCTCCTCTGTGACCAAGGATATACATTTTCGAGAGCAGGCATTTATGTGCACAACTGGTCAATATATCGCATCCTTTATTATCACAGTGGTCTAATTGAGCAAATGAAACGAAGCATAGTTTCTTCTCTCTTCTTAAAATGTGTAAGAAAAATGGGATATAAGTTTAAATTTATTTTTCTCAAAATAAAAATTCAGTGGGTCAGGATCAGAAATAGGCATTGAAAAAAAAATCTCTGGGTTTATCTGGAAGCAGGAGTTAAAGTTAATTAACCAAACTCTTTTTCTAATGTGGTATCTTGTGAGTAATTGGAGTCACTAGTCACCATTTTAATTTTCTTTCTAGTGAAGCAATGTAGTAACCCAGGAGACTTAACCAATGGGAAAGTGGAAATTAAATCAGGTCTTCTCCTTGGTTCAACCATACAATTCAGCTGCTCAGAGGGGTGAGTATAAGGCAACCTAGAAGCAATACGTTACTTCTCAATTAATTTCTATATGGAGTTCGTGCATTCATACATTTCAGAAATAAAAATGGTGTATAAAGGTACATATCAAGAATTCTAGCTTCTACTGTATCTTCATTCATCCCATTTCTCTCTCACTCTGACAGGAAGTTTCTGATTTATCTTTTTAGTGTTTGCTTATGTAAATACAAGCAAGTGCAAATATTTTAATCAATATTTTGCCCTCAATTATGCAGAAGTTATCTGACTGTGTGCATTGTTTTGAGCCTTGCTTTTATTTTTTTCACTTAACAATATTGCTATGGGCTGAATGTTCGTGTTCCCCCCAAATTCTTATCTTAATCTCCAGTATGATGACATTTGGAGATGGGTCCTTCGGAAGGTAATTAGGTCATGAGGGTGGAGCTCTCATGAAGGGATTAGTGCCCTTATAAAAAGATACATGTGAGAGCTTGCTGCTTCTCTCTCTGCCATCTGAGGACCTAGCAAGAAGACAGTCAGCTCCAAACCAGGAAGAGGGCCCTCACCAGAACCCAAGCATGCTGGCACCATGGTCTCACACTTCCCAGCCTTCACAACTGTGAGAAATAAATTTCGGTTGTTTATTTATGGTATTTTGTTATAGCACCCAAACTCACTAAGAGAAATATGTACTAGAAATCTTTGTATTCAGGCACCAAGTGTTTCCTCATTCTGTGTGTATGTGCGTGTGTTTACAGTTGTGTAATTTTCTAGTGCACATATCATAACTTATCATAGTTCATTTAATGATCCTTATTGATGGGCCTTTGTGTGTTCCCTGTTCTATGCTGTTACATTCAAGGCCCTGATGAATAATCTATATATGTTATGTATGTAGATAGGTCATAGGATAAATTCCCAGAAGTGGGATTGCTGAATCAGAGAGAATATACTTTAAAATTTTCATAAATATTGAAAAATTGCTCTGCATAGACTTTGTAAAATTTTGTAATGTAAATAAATGTCTGTTTCTCTACCACCTCCACTATTGAATATTTTATCAAACTTTTGAATTTTTGCCTATTAAGAGGAGAAAATAAAACCTCCATGTAGTTTTTTAAACTTTTTTATTTTGAGGTAAGTGTAGGGTCATATGAAATTACAACCAATAATACAGAGAGATTCCATATACTATTGTTGCTAGTTTCCCCCAGTGGTAACACTTTGCATGACTGTAGTACAGTATCACAACCAAAACATGAACATTGATACAATCCATTGTTTTCAGATTTCCCCAGTTTTACATGCACTCATTTGTGTCTGTGTGTTTTTAGTTCTATGCAATTTTATCACATGTAGACTTATGTGACTACCACCACAGTCAAGATACAGAACAGTTCCATTGAAGGAATTTCTTGTGCTACCCTCTTATAGCCGACTCCATTCCTCCGCTCACCCTAACCTCTGGCAACTGCTGATCAATTCTCCATTTCCATAATTGTGTCATTTCAAGAATATACATGGAATCACACAGTATGTGACCTTTGAGATTGGTTCTTATCACTCAGCATAATTCTCCGGACATCCATCTAAGGTGTTATGCATATTAATAGCTTGATTTTACTGCTGAAGCAGTATTCCACAGTAGAGAATTTGTTTAACCCTTCACCCATTGAAGGACACGTGGATTGTTTCATTCTTGGCTATTATGAATAAAACTGCTATAAATATTCATACACAGATTTTTCGTGTGAACTCTTGTCTTCATTTTTCTAGGATAAATGCCCAGAAATGCAATTAATAGATCATATAGTAGTTACATGTTTCATTTTGTAAGAAAACTGCCTGTTTTCTAGAGAGGATGAATCATTTTACATTCCCAGCAGAAAATGAATGCGTGATCTCTACCATCCACACCAGCATTTGGGATTGTTACAATTTTTCATTTTAGCCATTCTGCTTGGTGTGTAGTGATAGTTCATTGTGGTTCTAATTTGCATCTCTGTAGTAACTAATGATGTTGAACATCTTCCATTCAATGAGATATCTATTCATATCTTTTTCACATTTTATAATTGGATTATTTCGTTTTTGCTGTTGAGCTTTGAGAGTTCTTTACACATTCTAGGTACTAGTCGTTTATTGGATATGTGGTTTGCAAATATTTTCTCCCAGTCTGTGGCTGCGACTTGCCTTTTCATCCTCTTCACAGGTTCTTTTACAGAGCAAGCATTTTTAATTTTGGTGAGGTCTAGTTTATCAATTTTTCTTTT